CCCAGTTATCCTATCACATCAGGCCATGAATATTCCAACATAGCTGAAAGACAAAAAAAAGACCTTAAAACCAATTTTATTATTCTTGACTTCTCAATAGAGACTCTAAAAGCCAGAAGGGCCTGGACAGATGTTTTACAGACTCTAATAGACTACATATTGCCAGTCCAGACTACTATACCCAGCAAAACTTTCAATCACCATAGATGGAGGAAATAAAAAAAGATATTCTATCCCCTGGCAATGGATAAAGAGACATCTTATTGTTGTTGGTGGGTTTTTTTTGTTGTTGTTGTTGCTGTTTGTTTGTTTTTCAAGACAGGGTTTCTCTGTATAGCCATGGCTATCCCGGAACCCACTCTGTAGACCAGGCTTGGCCTCGAATTTAGAAATCCACCTGCCACTGCCTCCCAAGTGCTGAGATTAAAGGCGTGAGCCACCACTGCCCAGCTGGTGGTGTTCTTTTATCAGTTAGGGGCAGAGCAGATGGCAGTCCACTATTCATCCTAGCTTGATGCCTGACTTGGTGGATAAAGCTGTCATATACGTAGGACTCATAAAAATCAAATCAAATCCAGACAACAGAGTACAGAAGGAGGAAGACAGAGACCAGGACTACCATGCACCCAGACTGGCCCTCCAGCGCATGGCACAGGTGGGCCACAGAGACCAGCTTGCTGCCACACCACGAAGCAGGGATGGAGGATGTCACCCAGGGATCCACCAGCTGAGTGGCCTGCCTGCAGGTGGTATACCAAGGTGTACAAGTATGTGGTGGTCAGATGGGAGGGTAAGAGAAGTGGAGCAGCTTGAACACTATGAAAAGAGATGGAACTGGAGACTCAAGGGTGGAGAGGAGCAGCCTGTAATGAGTAGCCAGTCCTACCACCTGGGGCCATGGTGAGGTCCCAGCCTGAGCCGCCACTGAGTGTCTGAGTTCATGGTTACATGAAGATGCAGGGGTTGGCATTGATATCCCTGGCTCATATTACCACTAGAAAACATGAGGGCATGAGTGTGGAAGAGATGATCCTGCTATTCTTCTGCTGTGGTGCAGAAGTGATGCCCCCACCTCTTAACACCCCCAGCAGTCAGGAAAGCTGCCCACAGGACCATGAGCTCAGGAGGACCATGTAGGAATCAGGAGAGTGGGCCTTCATCTCGCCTGGACAGCACAGTAGGGCTGACTCTGGTGAGCCAGAGCAGGAGCACAGTTGAGCCAACTCTGAGGGTGAGAACTTGGGAGAAGTGGCCCCAGCACTAGTCTGCTGTGAGGGGGTATAGGTGCAGGGGTGATGGTGCCTTCCCCCTCCTCAATTTCAGTAGCTGGGAGAGCTGACGCTGGGGTCATGAGAGGGGGAGAGTTAGCCCTGCCCCCTCATTGGCTATAGCACTCAAGAGAAAGGGCACTGCCTAGGCAATACAGTGGCCCTAACTCTGGAGGTGTGGGTGTGGGTAGTCCCAAGGGTATGAGAGCAGGAGAGCTGACCCTGCCTCCTGACAATGGTGGCATTAGGTGGCCTAGTCAGGGCAGTGCTGGAGAGCTCTCCCTGGTGGTACTGAGAAGGGAGAGTTGGCAGGCTGACCAGCAGCTACTGCCCAGACCCAGATCTAGAGCTTTAAATTGGTCTACCCCAAAATCTGTATCATCTACTAATGGTTGAGACATATGAAAAGGCCAGTCCTGCTGTTTCAAAGCTGCAGGATCTCCATGACACAGGCCAACAACAGGACAACCAGGAGTCTCAATGAGCAGCCATTATTGATGGTGTCACAGATGCCAGAGTTCTCAAATGAGACCAAAGACTCATTGCAATGAACATCTGCAAGTGTAGATGTGTAGACAGAAGGATGTACTATGGGACACACTGTGACATACTACAGCTGTCACAATGAGATATTTTCTATGAGTTGGGATTTTTGTTGATGATGTATGTTTGTTTTTGCTGGTGGGGGGGAAGAGGTTGCAAGGGCAAAGGGCAGGTGTAAGATGAGCAGGACTTGGGTACATGGTATGAAACTCAAAATGAATGAATAAAAAGGTTTTTTTTAAAAAAAGATGAAGTAAAACTTAAATAGTATGTATTGACAAATCCAGTCCTACAGAAGGTAGAAGGAAAACACCAACCCAAGGAGGTTAACTACATCCATTAGAACACAGGAAATAATCTCACACCAGCAAAACTAAAAGAAGGGAAACACATATCCATCCACCACTCCCACCACTAAAATAACTGAATTAATAATCATTGGTCACTGATATTTCTCAATACCAATGAATTCAGTTTCCTAATAAAGACATAGGCTAATAGAATGAATGTGAAAACAGAATCCATCCTTCTGCTGCATACAAGAAACACACCTCAACATCAAAGACAGACATTGCTTCACCAAAATCAATCAAGAGATAGGGAAAGAAACTTCAGACTCAAAGGAAAAATCCACCAAGATGATGTTTCAATTCTTAACATGCTGCAAATGCAAAGGGTGTCCATGTTTGTAAAAGAAACATAAAAGCTTAAAATACACATTGACTCTCACACACTGAGAATGGGAGACTTCAATATCCCACTCTCAACCAATTGACAGATTGCCCAGACAAAAAACTAAACAGAAATACTGAAACTAACAGTTATTATAAATTAAATGGACCTAGCATATCTAAAGAACATTTCACCCAAACACAAAATAATATATCTTCTTCTCATCACCTCATGGAACATTCTCCAAAATTGTTTACATAATTGGTTACAAAGCAAGACTCAACAGATATAGGAAAACTTAACTCTCTGCATCCCATCAGACTACTACAGAATAAAACAAGATTTCAACAAAAACAGCAACAAAGTCTATAAACTCATAGAAACTGAACAATCCTCTACTAAATAACTACTGGATGAAGACAGAAAGAGAGAAAGACTTTCTAGAATTCAATAAAATTGAATACACAACATACACTTATGGGACACAACGAAAGCAGTGCTAAGAGGAAAGTTCATACCACTAAGTGCCTACTTAAAAAATAGAGATACTAGCAACTTAACAGCATACCTGAAAGCTCTAGAATAAAAGAACTAAAGCACATCCAAGAGGAGTAGATAGTAGGAAATAATCAAACTGAGGAGCTGAAATCAATAAAATGGAAACAGAGAGAATACAGTCAATGAAGCAAAGAGTTGGTTCTTTGAGAAAAATCAACAAAATAAGCAAACCCTTAACCAAACTAACTAAAAATCACAAATGAAAATGGGGACATAACAAGAGACACCAAGGAAATTCAAAGAATCATTAGGTTATACTTTAAAAATCTATATTACACAAAGTTGGAAAATCTAAAATGCATAATTTTGATAGATATCACTTAAAAAGTTAAATCAAAATCAGATAAACAATTATAAATATATAACCCCTAAGGAAATAGAAGCAGTCATTAAAAGTCTTCTAGCCACAAAAAAATTCCCAGGGCCAGAAGATTTCAGCACAGAATTCTACCAGACTTTCAAGGAAGGACTAACACCAATACTCCTCAAATTAATTCCACAAAATAGAAACAGAAGAAATACAGCCAAATTCATTTTATGAAGCCACAACCACACTAATACCTAAACTACACAAGGATTCAATGAGAGAGAGAGAGAGAAAGAGAGAGAGAGAGAGAGAGAGAGAGAGAGAGAGAGAGAGAGAGAGAGAGAGAGGGAGGGAGGGAGGGAGGGAGGGAGGGAGGGAGGGAGGGGGAGACAGAGAGACAGAGACAGAGAGAGAGACAGAGAGACAGAGAGAGACAGAGACAGAGACAGAGACAGAGAAATGACCAATTTCCCTTATGAACATGGATGCAAAAAACACTCAATAAAATACTCACAAACTGAATTCAAAAACACATCAAAAAGATCATCCACCATGACCAAGTAGCCCTCATCCTAGAGATGCAGGATGGTTCAACACAGGAAAATCAGTCAGTGTAAACCACCATATAAACAAGCTGAAAGAAGAATAAGAAGGCCTGAAATCCCAGCAGCACTCAGAAGGCCGAGACAGGAGGACTCAAGATCCCAAGTCAGTCTGAGTTACAGAAAAAAAGGAAAATAAATGGTCTTTAAACAAATACTTAGAATAAACAAAGGGTTGCTATCAGGAGGCAGGGGGTGGGGGTCGGGGGGGGAGAGGAGATAACAACAACAAAGAAACAAACAAAAACCCACCTGCTTACAAACTGGGCCAAATGATATTCTATACAGAAAAGCAAGCTAAAATCCTAAGTAGGCAAGCCATAAAACATGAAGCCTAGCTGATGTTTATCCCAGCTTACTAATAAGTATATCCCAGCTTACTAATAAGAAGGGACATGTATATTCAAGTCACAATGAGATATCATTTCAAAATCAAGAGAAAATTAAAAACACTATGTATTTATGAGAATATAGACCAAATAAAGCCTTGAATCTTGCTTTTGTAAGTGAAAATTATACAAATATTGTAAAGTAGTTTGGCATCATTAATCAAGAGGGCAAGTGTCTAGATGGTCTCTCCTATTTTTTTTTAATTTAGCAATAACCTGAAAATAATTCAATACCAATTAAAAGAGAAAAATTTTGAATGCTTATAAAACAGAAAAATCTAGATTGTGAAATCAGGTAATAAATTGTAGAAATATAATGTTGCACAAACTGCAAATTAAAGTTCAAAATACACAAAACAATGCATTTACTGAGTCTAAATACATAGCAGAACTTTGAGACAAGGTAAACATCAAAGCAGGACTGTGACTGTTTATGAAGAGACATGACCAAGAAAATCCACATGTGTGATTTCAAAGATGTTAATCAAGTGTTTAAAAATGAATTTGAAACACTAATAAACAGCATGAAATTCTTTAAAACTATAAAAACTAAAACCAACCCAAGAGTGGGGAATTTACATGAACTGAACAATTATTTCTAAACAAAAGTAACATTTAAATCATAGCAATAAGAAATAATAACAAATAGTTATTATCCTACCTTTATTGGTGAAATATGAGAATGAGAAACAAATCCATGGACGTTCTCAATCTCTGACAGGTTCTTTTCTGAGACATGAACCAATTCTGGACCTAGCACCTCATTTGTGAATGGTGGGGAAATATGCTCTGGAGGAAGTACTTCTTCATCCTGATACCGGTATTTCTGTGAAGTAAAGAAAACTATTAAATATGAAGAAATCCTAAAACCAAAGGAAAATTAATTCAAAAAATGATTTTCATAGCTATTCAATTAAATATAAACAATGTGTAAGTATTTAGTATAACTTAAAACATAAAATTTGAGAAAAACAAGACTCCATTTTAAAGTCATGATAAAAGTTTTTTAAAAATTGCAATAGAAGCCTAAATATTAATTTGCCCATTTCTTTCTTACTCAGCGCTACATGTGTATTTAAAAGGCAGCTGTTTGAATGAAGTCTGCATGAAAATCTGCTTATTTACCTAAATTGGTCTGGTTCCTTGTTCAGTTAACTTGCTTAAAAAAGAAAATAAACCAATCAGCCATTTCAATTTGGAACTGAAAATTAGCCCAGCAGAAAACAGCATTTTCCTTTACCTAACAATGTAATCTTAATCACCTGTTGTGTGCCTGGACATATGTATGCATACACATACATACAAACACACACACACACACATATACATGCGCATGCACACACATACCCTCTTTTCTATGCAATCTTTTTTATTTGTTTTATTTGTTTATTTATTTGTCTTACTCTGTATCCCTGGCTGTCCTAGAACTCACTACATAGATCAGGCTGGCCTCCAATTCACAGAGGCACAGAGATCCACCTGTCTCAAGTGCTGGGATTAAAGGTGTGTTCTGTCACACCCAGCCCTATACAATGTATTTTTAAAAGACAAATCTTTAAGAACAAATTTACTTCATGCCATATAAAAATAAATTATAATAATAGAAACTGGAAAAAAAACATGGGGCTTTTTTTCAACCCAGGCTGTATCTGTAATCTACAACATGTCAATACAAAATAAAAGACTCTCAGATTACTTACAAATAAACCTAACATTAAAGAAAAAAAATCAGGTATAACAGGGAAAAAAAACCCAATTCTCAAAGTATTACTGGTCATTAAAAGCTGCTCTTAAAAATTATTTGAAAAGAATAGTCAACAAACACAAGTAAGTATGTTTAAAAGTCACATAAGTAGGCCAATAACTTACAGGAAAATTGTTCAATGTGTTTAATAAGCAGAAAAGGAGTTAGCACAGAAAAGGAGTTAGCGTGAAGACATTCAGCACGCGAATTTTATCAGCTTATACTTAGAGTCTTTCTAGAGGGCAGTCTGGCAATGATTCAAAAGCTCTGAAAACTTTTTATTTCTCTGCCTAGTAATTCCACTTCTAGAAATTAATCTTAGAAACATTATCAGTGATACACTTGCAGGAGAATGAAACAATATTTCTATTTCTCACCCTATACACACACACACACACACACACACACACACACACAGAGTGGGGAGAGAGGGAGGGAGGGAGGGAGGGAGGGAGGGAGGGAGGGGGGGAGGGGGGGAGGGAGGGAGGGAGGGAGAGCAGTGTACTGCAGCTTTAAGTAGCCAATCTAGATATCCATCTATAGAGGAATAGATAAAAGCTATGCACGCACATATGCACACAGAGAACTTTTAGTTATAACTAAGGAAGTTCTATTTACAGAAGAATGACTGCACCTGGAGATAATCATTAGGTGAATAAAGTCAGTCTCAGAAGTGTAAACAGTACATGTTTTATATCATTTGTGGGTTTTAGACTTCATGTAAATACACATATGTACACATGGTATGAAAGTAGGGGACAAAGATGACTAATGAAAGAAGGGATGTATAGGGAAGGTTAGTGCTGTATGGGAGAAATACACACCAATGTACATTATATACATGTATGAAGATGCCTTTATATTAATCAGTATCCTTTCAGTGTAAAAACAGAGCAGAGCAACAACAAAAAGAAATAGCATCGATAAAGAACACAAATACTGGCTGAATATAGAACTGGCCTGGCAAGATATGCCCCCTCGTCCAATAGTGGTATGAATGTTATTGACAGTAACCAACTACTTTCTGACTGACTGGATTTAAAGTTTGCTTCACAAGATGGAAACTATGCCTCGCACCATTACCTGGACCAAAGACTTACGGGTGTCTAGGTAATAGTCTCTAGGGGAGAACCTAATACTATTATCATGCTAAGTGAACACAGTAATAGACTGCAATGTTAAGTTCTTATCAGTATACACATATAATAGAGAATCTCTTACCCTCATTAGAGAATGTTCTTATGTATGTACTTCTTATAGAATGTAGATACATAACTCAGTTGAGTGGAAATAAAATCTAAATACTCATAGCAAATATGATACAAAGAAAGAAGCCATATTTGCAACAAAGGTACTCTATAACTGGCCTGTAGTTTTAAGGGAGACATATCCACAAGGTTATTTTAGGGTAATTAAAAAGAATTTTTTTTTTAAGTTTTTTGAGACAGGGTTTCTCTGTGTAGCCCTGGCTGTCCTGGAACTCACTCTGTAGACCAGGCTGGCCTTGAACTCAGAAATCCGCCTGCCTCTGCCTCCCAAGTGCTGGGTTTAAAGGCGTGCGCCACCACTGCCCGTCAAGAATTTTTTTTTTAAAGTATCTATTAATAGATTCTCCATGCCCCCGCCAAAAGGGCTAAGTGAACTCATCATAGGAAACTCTATATAGGTTAAATTAGGTTTAAACAAATTAGGAAAGGCTGAAGATACAAATTACTGGACTAAAAAAGCATGTCTTAAAATTGGGTATTTATATAATATAAAAAAATCATATATGTACATAAGTAAAACTATAAATACACAATTTGAACATTTTAAAGCAAAACAATAGTATATACATTGAATAAGCATATAGATGTTTGTATTCATACTCATGAATGTAGATTAAAGGAATTGACAATAACAAATAAATTAGTTCATTCTGAAAGTCCAGAGAAATCACTTTAAATTACTGTTTTCTAGCTACTTTTTTTTTTTTTTTTTTTTGGTTTTTCAAGACAGGGTTTCTCTGTGTAGCCCTGGCTGTCCTGGAACTCACTCTGTAGACCAGGCTGGCCTCGAACTCAGAAATCCGCCTGCCTCTGCCTCCCAAGTGCTGGGATTAAAGGCGTGAGCCACCACTGCCCGGCTTCTAGCTACCTTTTAATAATGTTCTTGTTCTCTTTTTAATTATTCTTTTTTTCTTTAAGATTCATTTATTTTTCTTTTGCATGTATAAATGTGTTTTGCCTAAATTTATCATGTTTGCAGTGCCCTCAGGGCCAGAGAAAGGAAATGGATCCTCTGGAATTGGAGTTACTGATTGTTTTCAGCTGCCACGTGGGTGCTGGGAACCAAACTCAGGTCCTCTTAACCACTGAGCCATCTAATGGTGTGTTCTTTTATCAGGAAGCACAAAATATCTAGTTATTTCTTTTTGTTATATTAGTTCCTCTTGATTAGTAATGCTTAAACCAAGACATTCCCTGAAAAAGGTTTGAAAAATGATGACAAGCTAATCTTTTCACTAATTAAATAGAACACATGTAAAAGCTACACTTCAGCAATAATTTGCTTTATTTGCTAGTATGACACATACAGGAATAACAGGAGAAATGCCTGAATTTTTCTTTCTATGAACAGATTTCAATACATACAAAAGATGTTTACCACCTTCCTAATATGATCCATAATAGCTATAAATATCTCACCTTGCTCCCTACCCCTGACTTTAAAATTTTCAAGCATATCTTAATGTCATATGGAATTGCAAGGGACCAAGAACAGCCAAATCAAATCTCTAAATATAAAAATGGCGTAAAGTAACTCATACCTCCTGATTCATGTCAATACAGAGATATTCACAAAAAGTGGGTTGGGGATGTAGGTCAACTAGTAACATATTTCCCTAGCCTCACACCTTCATGAAGTAAGGTTCAATCCCCAGCACTGTCTAAAACTGAGTGTTGGTGCACACCTGTAATCCCAGGAGCCTGAGCTGGAGACTCAGAAAAGGAGTTGGAGAGATGGTTTAGTGGCTAAGAATGCTTGTTGGACAATCATGCAGATTGGAGTTTAGTTCCAGTATCCGTATCACAAGAAGAGTTTCTCACAAACATCTGAAACTCCATCACCATAGGATCTGATACCCTCGTCTGACCTTGTTGCATTTACTTACACATGTACGTACAGACACATAATCATGTGCATTAAAAGATCTAAAGAAAAAAGGAAACCCACACTGTAGAAACACAAACAGTATTTCCATAATGCAAAAGGATTGCTAAAACTCAACAACAAAAGACAACATAATTTTGAAATGGATTTAAAGTGACATTTTTCAAACATGTAAGAATGGTCAATAAGCACATAAAAAGATGTTTACCATTAACAGTTATGACAGAAGTCAAAGCTATAACAAGCTATTACTCAATATCCAAGAGGAGTAAATATAATAAAACCACTGACAGTGATCAGTTGGAGATAAAAAGCAGACTCCAAATACTTTTGTGGGAATGTACTCTGTTAGAAACGGAATAACAGTTCCTGAGGGTTTCAAGAGTTACACATCACTCAGCAATTCTCAGTACATATAAGAACTGAGAATAAGCACTCAGAACTTAGAAGTGTTTATAGCAGCACTACTCAGAAGTCCCAAAGCAGTTCAAATGCCAATTAACTTATGAATAAAAAACTTATGTACATCCATGATGTAGTAGTATCTCTGAAGAGTGAACTACAGATCTGTAAGACACAGCTTAGCTAGGGCTTGTATTGTTATAAACACTATGAGCAAAAATAACTTGTGTCAGAACATGGTCCAAGAATGGAGTCCTGGGAGATTTCTGAGTGTCTGTGAGAAAACTTCAAGAAACTAAGACAAGGGTCTGTGACCTCAGTTTCTTCAATAACACATAAATAACATTTATTCATGGATTATATCTCTATGTCCAGCCCCGGATGTAGTGAATAAGACTGAGTTTATTTCAGATTACTCATCACAACTGGCTGTTCCTACTTGTTTATATGCCTCTATGGGCATGTCACATGCAGCTTGCCTACTGTGTGTAATCTGCCCCCAGTACAGCTTGTCCTTGTGATTGTGG